ATAATTTAATTGACTATGCTATTTCATGTTCTATTAGGTTTCAGATAGTTACAAATAAATTTGTTTCTTTGCTGTGCTTTTAAGATAATGGCATTACACTAGAAAAGAGAGGGTCTCTGAACCTTAACTCAGTCCTGAATATTCATTGGGAGACTGATGCTGAAGCTGAAGCTCCAATACTTTGGCCACCTGGTGTGAAAAACTGACATTGGAAAAGACCCTGATGCTGGGAAAGATTGAAGGCAGGAAGAGAAGGGGATAACAGAGGATGAGATGGTTGGATGGCATCACCGACTTGATGGACATGAGTTTGAGCAAGCTCTGGGAGTTGGTGATGGACAGGGAAGCCTGGTGTGCTGCAGTCCATGAGGTTGTAAAGAGTCGGACATGACTGAGTGACTGAACTGAAACCTTAACTCTCACCTTACTCGTATGGATTTTTCAGAACTTTCTGCTACATTCCTTCTTATAAGTTCTCTGAAAAAGAGGCAATAATATGGTCTTTCCTTCTTGCAAAACTCTAGAAGCCCGTGGATCCTCTTGCTCCTTAGATGACATTGCTTTCATTCTATCTTTTTATTAGCTATTTAGTCTATATAAAGACACTAGCATATATGCTTTGGGGACATGAAAAGGCAGGGCTTAGTGTCTCACTTTCACTTTTATGGACTTCTCTGGTGGCTCAGATGGTAGAGAATTGGCCTGCAGTACAGGAGACTGGTTTTGATCCTTGGTCGGAACGATCCCCTGGAGAAGAGAACAGCAGCTACCCACTCCAGTGTTCTTGCCTGGAGAATTCCATGGACAGAGGAACCTGGTGGGCTGCAGTCCATGGGGTCACAAAGAGTCGGACATGACTGAGCAACTAACACTTTCGCTTTAGTCTTCAGGTTGCTCTTAAAGCCTGTGGAGAGATTTCCAGAAAGAGAGTGTAAACATAAGAGCTCTTTAGATATTCTGGGTGTTTATTTTGTGCATTTGTTTATTCCTTGTCTTCATGGACTTCACAGTCAGATGAAGAGAGTGGAAAATGAAGTATGATGTGTGCTACGAGAAGTACCCAGAACTAAAGACACATAGGGAGAATATTTAAGCCAGATTTTAGGTGCAGTGGGAGGCTTCTTTAGAAATGATAGTTAATCTGAGTTCCTGGGGGATGAGGTAGCCAGTTGGGGAACTGGGCCATATCTTCTTCCTCTGTTTATCTCCCTAGCAACACTTTTTTCACACATTACTTCCACTTGAGCATTATTTAGTGTTTGTGGAAGTAAGAGGGAATTTTAGGCAGAGGAGAGATTTGGGGCAGTAGGACTTCATAGTATTTTTCAGATTTTATTAAGTTAAAGAGTCTAGGGGAATTCAGCTTCTGCTGTGCAGTGCTTGGGACTTCATGAATTTTAAAATTGACCTAGAAGTAAGATGCCATTGATTCTAATTTATACAGTGCTGAAATCCCCTGTATTAAATCTTAGATAAGCGGTCAACCCACTTCTGTTGTTTAGTCCTTGAGGCTGAGAAGTTTACTTCTTCCATGAGGCATCTCATTCTATTCTCAAATTAGCTAGTTGTTAGAAATCTCTTTCTTATTTTTGACTTTGTCCCCTTTCCGCCTATTGTTTCCTGGCTTCCCACTAGAAACACTAAGCATTTCTATTCTTTCCACCTGGTCACCCTGACCCTTTATCTGGGTGACCCACCTTCACCCTAAAGAAAATAACTTTGTGTGATTTGAGTCTCCTTTTCACCAAATGAAATATTCCTAGTTCAGTCAATCTCCACTTTCATTCTGAAAGCCTTCATGGGTCATCTTTTACAACGCAGTGAGTCTTTGTTAGTGATGCAGTGAGTCTTTGTTAGTGATCCAGTGGGGTGGGAGGGGAGACTTGAACTTCTCTTTAGAAGACTGGTAAGAAGAGGCAGGCCTAGGGGAGCTATGTTCACACCTACGTGGGAAGATAACTGCCCTGGGCTGTGGTTCTTAACCTTGATAGCATTTTGGAACCATCTGGGGGATTTTTCCTTTATTACACTATAAAAAAATGGTCATCAGTAAATATCATAAAAAATGGAAATAGCAATAACTTCAGATATGCAGATGACACCACCCTTATGGCAGAAGGTGAAGAACTAAAGAGCCTCTTGATGAAAGTGAAAGAGGATAGTGAAAAAGCTGGCTTAAAGCTCAAGTTTCAAAAAACAAAGATCATGGCATCCAGTCCCATCACTCCAACAATTGAGAAACAATGGAAAACAGTGAGAGACTTTATTTTCTTGGGCTCCAAAATCACTGCAGATGGTGACTGAAGCCATAAAATTAAATGACACTTGCTCTTTGGAAGAAAAGCTATGACCAAACTAGACAGCATATTAAAAAGTAGAGACATTACTTTGCTAACAAAGGTCCATCTAGTCAAAGCTATGGTTTTTCCAGTAGTCATGTATGGATGTGAGAGTTGGACTGTAAAGAAAGCTGAGCCCTGAAGAATTGATGCTTTTGAACTGTGGTATTGGAGAAGACTCTTGAGAGTCCCTTGGACTGTAGTCAGTACTAAAGGAAATCAGTTCTGAATATTCATTGGAAGGACTGATGCTGAAACTGAAGCTCTAATACTTTAGCCACCTGACTCATTTTGAACTGACTCATTTTGAAAAGACCCTGATGCTGGGAAAGATTGAAGGCAGGAGGAGAAGGGAATGACAGAAATGAGATGGTTGGATGGCATCACCGACCCAATGGACACGAGTTTGAGCAAGCTCTGGGAGTTGGTGATGGACAGGGAAGCCTGGTGTGCTGCAGTCCATGGGGTCGCAAAGAGTCAGACATGACTGAGTGACCGAACTGAACTGAAAAAAAAAAAGATAATTTATTAATTGACACTTTATTGTGAATCACAGATCTTTCACTAGAGTTTTTTAAAAATTTATTTATTTTTAAATTTATTTGCCTGAGCCAGGTCTTAGTTGCAGCCTGGGGCATCTAGTTCCCTGACCACACATTGAACCCCCTGCATTGGGAGTGTGGAGTCTTAACTACTGGACCACCAGGGAAGTCCCTCACGGCAGGTTTTTTTTTTTTAATTTAAATTTACGTAGAATAAGATTCACTTTCTTTGAATGTTTAGTTCTATGAAGTTTGGCAAATACAGAGTCATAGAAATACCACCACAATGAAGATACAGAAAATTTCCATCATCCCCACAAATTCCCGCGTTTTGTCAATTTGTAGTAAACCCCGCCACCCTTAACCCTTGGTGACCAGTTCTCCATTACTATGGTTTTCTGTTTTCCAGAATGTATATAAATGAAACAATACAGCATGTAGCCTTTTGACTCTGACTTCTTTCATTTTGCAAAATACATTTGAGATTCATCAGTGTTGTTGCATGAATCAGTAATGTGTTACTTTTTAACTAATGAATAATTGTCCATTTTATGGCTATACTATTATTTGTTTATCCATTCCCTAGTTGTTTCCAGTTTTTAGCATGACTGGTTTTTGGGTGAAGGTAGGTTTTCATTTTATTTGAATAAATAGTTAAGAATGGGATTTCTGGGGCACATGTAATTATATGTTTGACTTTAGAAGAAAACAACAAATTGTTTTCAAGAGTGACTGTGCCATTCTATACTCCTGCCAGCAATATATGAGTGTTCCAGTTGCCCTATATCCTCTCCAATGCTTGATATTGTGCTTTAGTGAAAGTTGCTCAGTCGTGTCTCTCTTTTTTTTTTTTTTGTCATTCGTCCCTCACTTTATTTGGACACTTAAACGTACCTCTCTCCCGACAGGGCTCTCTGTACATTTCATTCTTCACAGTAGAGAAAAACTCCATCAGTCCCCAAACCCACCGACAGGGGAACTTTTTAGGCCGTCTTCAATTTGCAGCAGAGACAACAGTGCAGCCAGTCAACAAGGCTACATTCACAAGACACCCGGGTCCCACCCCTACCCTTTCCGCCCCTTGTTTAGAGACAAGATTTAAAAGCTGCTGATTTTAAAAGAAGTATAGTAACCCACACATTAACACATAACCAAACATAAATAATGAGGTTTCTTAAACAAGGACAACTTTTTCCAGCTGAGTTATAAGATGATCAGGTCAGCCTAAGGGTGAAATGAGAGGTTGAGAGAGACTGTAAAATGGGCAGATTTGCCTTCCTCCCTTAAAATCCCTTCAAGGTGCAGACAATTCAGTAGTACTGAAAAGGCCTCAGCTCTGACACATTTTAGAAGAGCTTCGACAACAACCGACAAAGAAAGATACTACTATGCACCTGGTTTTCGATAAACTGAATCTAAGGCCGGCTGGCCCATTCTTGAATGGGAGCATGAAATGAGAGGCTTAGTTAAGAGAAATTTTGACACAAATATAGATTCCTTGACCCACAGTTACTTTGGAAAGAAGCCATGAGAGGCTGGGTCGGTTCTCAAACCTCAGCTAAGTGTGGCTCTTCTTTCTCCCCAGTGTGAAACAGCAAATGCACCTATAAGGTAGAGTTATCCGTAAGAGTTCCTTCTGACTTTGGAAGCAAGGAGAAGGCTTTCCAGATACACCTGGGAGACAGAAGGCAAACCGACATCAATTTAAGCAGGCCTCACGAAAGGTCTGCTGGAGGTCTTATCAAACAGTGACATCTGTGGACAGGCACAGAGGGAACGACGACAGCCTTGGGACTCCAGGGGAAAGGCCGTCAGGATGCTCTGCGGTCTCGGCTGACAGAGTCCAGGAATGACGACAGCCTTGGGACTCCAGGGGAAAGTCCTCAGGATGCTCCGCGCTCTCGGCTGACAGAGTCCAGCCTGTGTCCGCCCCTGAAGACTCCTCAGCAGACGCATCCCCAGAGCAGTCTCCACGGGAGTCCGTCCTCCTCCCACAGCGCTTAGCTGAGATGAGCGCCTCACACACGTCCCTCTCAACCCGGTAGGGCCACTGGAGTTTGGCGCCCGACCCTCACTCCCCTCGGCCCTCTGCTCTCTGGCAGGGGGGGGTCTCAGGCCTTCATCGCCAGGCACGGTTCAGGAGTTTGACCTGCGCCAGCCTCTTTGTGATCATGGTGGCAAAGACCAGGCCAAAGAGGACACTGCTGATGAGCACGTAGTCATAGTCATCCTTCAGGACGTCGAACTGTTTGGACGGGTAGACACGAGTCTGGTAAATGTCCAAACCGTACGCCACGACCAGACAAGTGGACTCCAGGCCCGAGGGAGCTGTGTAGATACCTCGCATTCGAGAAACTGTCTGGTTATAGTTGATGAACCACTCTGCGTGGATCTGCACATCTGGAGAATACGGGATCAGGTTTTCCTCTCTGCTTTGTTCTGTTGGGATCTCAGGGCGGCGAGGATCCAGCAAGGCCTTAGGTAGGGAAAGGATCCCTCCGGAAGGCAGCCCAATGAGCAGGTGGCGGCTGGTGATGTCCCGCTCTGTGATGGTGGCCTCCATGACGCTGATGGTGGACGGGAAGTTGTAGGACTGCTGCAGGACCTGGGGCAGCTGCGGGCAGTCCAGGGAGCTGAAGGCCGTGGCGTTGTACTGCTCCGTGCCTTCGTAGAGCTCCAGCGCCGTGAACTCGTTGCTCCGGGCCTTGGTGTTCCAGTACTGGTACACCACCCAGTTCTCCGAGTGCACGATGTGGACAGGGCCCTTCGCCTTCCTCTGCACAGAGGTGTGGATGATGCGCCCCGTCCACGAGGAAGATGCCGATGAAGGTGTGCTCGTGGTGAACATACGTGCTCTCTGTCACCACGGCCAGCAGGTTGGGGTTCAGGCTCTTGTAGAGCACGCTGCGGTCCCCCATCATGCGGCCCTGTGAGTGCACGTGCTCACTGCTGCGCTTGCCCTTCACCTGCACAATGCGCTGCACCTCCGGAGGGATGGTCAGCTCCCAGCTCAGCTCGGTGGTTAGGTCCTTCTGGAGCCGATTTCCGCACAGCCGCCCCGATCCTCGTCCACCAAGTAGAAGATCGAAGGGGCAAGCTCATGGAGCTGCCGCAAGACATTCCGAGTGGCTGGGAAGGCTGTGACCTCGTACTCGTCATCTATCAGCAAGAGCACCTTGGCATAGTCCTGATCCATGACGGGCAGCAGCAGAGACTGCAAGACGGGGCACTTCAGCACGGGGGGCGCCACCTGGCTCCAATTCCCGAAAATGGGGTTGAAGACATAGAGCGAACTCATTCCCGTCTCCTTGTCCTTCAGCAGGAGGGTGCACTGGGGTGGGTGAGGGAAGTGGGCAGTCGTCCTCTGGACCATCAGCTTAAAGGAGGAGTCTGGCTTGACGTTCGGGAGATACTGTTTCCACAGGATGGTGCCAGAGCTGCTCTCGATGCCAAAAAGCTTGCCCGAGGCCGTCACCATCACCATCATCTTCTGGAGGTTGAATTCATCCCTGGCCAAAGTGTCAATGTTGATCTCATTCTTGATCTGGCTCCGGGGCTTCCGAGCATCGTAAAACACTTTCCAGAGGTGGGAGGTCCAGGCCTGTAGCAGGATGAGCTGGGAGGACAGGCGCTTCAGGAACATGCCCAGCAGGCCGTCTGCCTTCTTGCCAAACTCCCCTTCCAGCTCCGCCTGCGCCCAGGTCAGTGGCAGGTCCACCATCTCCAGGCACACCACCTCGGCCAGGGATTCCTCGCGGCTCCACAGCACCACCCTCCCTGCCAGCTGCTGCAGGAAAAGCAGCAAGTGATCTTGTGTCTGCACCAAGGCCCGGTAGCCCACGGAGTCATCCTTCTTCAGGAAGACCTGGATGTACAGCCGCTCCGGCCGAGTGCCGTTCTGTTCCAGGCTGAAGGTGATCGCGGTGTCGAGCAGCCGCCGGCCTGTCTCCTCTAAGTAGAGGTTGATGGTGTAGGTCTGGTTGAAGCAAGCCAACGAGTCCTGGGGACCCTTCTCCGAAAAGCTCCCAGGTGACCGGTCTTCAGAAACGCTAGGCTTCGCCTCGTTCTGGCAGGTCATGACTGCAGCCACCATCTTCTCTCCGGTGGTGGCGAAGCTCACCAGGGCAGCCTGTGGGAAGTTTTTGAGCAGACTCAGGATGCCGTGGTGATAGTGCAGCAGTGCGTAGTGGCTTGGGGACAACTGCAGGAAGAACTGCGCCCGAGACGGATCCACCGGGCTGGGCTGCGTGGGCAGGATCCAGGGTTGGAATCCACTTGCGAATTCTAGGTCAAGAGACTGCAGGGGGATCTGCCTCAGCTCCCACTCTGTCTCCAGGGCCAAGGTCTGCAGGGACCGCGAGCTTGGGTCGGGGCACACCAGGACAGCCTCGTCCACCACACCACAGGCCCCGGTGAGACTCCGCAGCCAGGGGGTCGACACCCTGACCTGCTGAACGATCTCTCCATCTTCCACGTTAAACTTGACAATGTTCACATGGCTGAAGGGAACGACTCCGAGGGCCCACACAACCCCCGAGCCGTAGGAATACACCATCTGGTAGTGGATGCTGTCACTCTCCGGGAGGTGTTCCCCCCACTTCAGGTGCCCACTGGAGAGGTGATGGAGGGCAAGCGTGGTCTTCTGCAGGACCGCAACGTACCTCACCGCCTCCTGCAGGCCGACCGGGCGGAGGGCTTGGAAACTGCCACTGTCCAGGGTAACCTCCCAGTTCAAGCCCCCGATGTTCGTCTCCCAGGAGCGCATGAGGAGCGCATGATCCGGCCTCCATTGGACACAGTGATTGCATCCTGCCCGCAGAGCAGCATGGCGTCCACCACCCCTTCTGCCGAGCCCTTGTCAACGTGGCGCCACAAGATCTCCCCAGTCCAAGAATTCAATGCTGCAATCACATTCTTCTCTATGGCCACAGCCAACTTCTTCGATCCAGGGGAAAATTCCAAGGAGGCAAATTTGAGCTTCCCAACATACTGCTGTCTCCAATCAAACTTGCCCACTTGGTCTTTGTAGACCGCGGCCGCAGGGATAAGCAGGGCAGCCCAGAGCCACAGCCGGGAAGCCGCGGCCGCCGCCACCGCCATGATGGGAGCGCGGGCCTGCCCGCCGCCGGCCCGGCAAGCACCGCGCCGCGGGCCCCCGTGTCTGACTCTTTGAGACCTTATGGACTGTAACCTGCCAGGCTCCTCTGTCCATGGGGTTCTGCAGACACGAATACTGGAGTGGGTAGCCATTCCCTTCTCCAGGGCATCTTCCTAACCCAGGGATCGAACCCAGGTCTCCCACCTTACAGGTAGATTCTTTATCGTCTGAGCCACCAGGGAAGCCCTGTGTCCTTTAGGTGTCAAGTGTAAGAACTCTTTGCCTACCTCTAGGTCATGAAGACTTTTTCCTGTGTTTTAAAGTTTTGTAGTTTAACATTTTACATTTATATCTATGATAGTTAACTTTCATATAAGGTACGAAGTTTAGATTGAACTTCACCTGTGTGTAAAGATGTCTAATTTTCCCAGCACTGTTTTATTATTTTAAAATTTAATTAAAATATATGCATTTATTTATTTGTCTGTGCCGGGTCTTAATTGCAGCATGCTGGTTCTTTAGTTGTGGCATGCGGGATCTTTAGTTGCTACATGTGAACTCTTAAGCACAGCTTGAGGGATCTAGTTCTCTGATCAGGGATTGAACCTGGGCCCTCTGCATTGGGAGCATGGAGCCTCAGCCACTGGATCATCAGGGAAGTCCCTAATTTTTTCAGTCAAGTAGAAATAAGTTATTTGTCTAATGAGCAGGGAGCAGCACCAGCTGTGCCTTCCTCTCACTCAATACTTTCTAGACCTTCACGTGCACATTACTTGTGCTTAGTCGCTTCAGTTGTGTCCCACTCTTTCTGACCCCGTGAACTGCAGCCCAACCAGACTCCTCTATCCATGGAATTTCCCAGGCAAGAATAATGGAGTGGGTTGCCATGTCCTCCTCTGGGAATCTTCTGAACCCTGGATTCAAACCAGGGTCTCCTGCATTGCAGGTGGATTCTTTACCACTGAGCCACCTGGGAAGCCCATGTCACTTGGGGATCTGTTAATGCAGCTTCTGCTTCAGCAGCTCTGGGCTGGGGGGCTGACACCCTGCATTCTTTTATATTTTCAGCACTATTAAAAAATTGTATAATTCCTCAATAATATACAATGTCGGACATCTTTTCCTATGCTATTTTCCAGCTGTACATTTTCTTTAGTGAGATGTGCTTTCATGTCTTTGACTTATTTTTAAATTGAGTTGTTCATTTTCTTATTGTTGAGTTTTATGAATTCTTTGCATATTTTGGATAACAGCTGTTTATCAGATGTATCTTTAGCAAATATTTTCTCCTGGTCTGTGGCTTGTCTCCTTATTCTCTTGACAGTGTCTTTCTCAGAGCAAAACTTTTTAATTTTGATGCAGTCCAGGTTATGAATTATTTCTTCCATGGATTATACATTTGTTGTTGTATCTAAAAAGTCATCCCCATACTGAAGGTTACTTAGGTTTTTTCCTGTGTTTCCTTCTAGGAATTCTATAGTTTTGCATTTTACATTTAGGTCTATGAACCGTTTTGAGTTAAGTTTTGTGAAGGGTGTAAGATTTTTGTCTTGATTAATTTTTTCTTTTGCATACATATGACTGTCCAGGTCTCCCAGCATCTGTTGAAAAGACTATTTTTCTCTGTTGTATTGCCTTTGCTCTTTTGTCAAAGATCAGTTGACTATGGTTATGCGGCCTCTTTCTGGGCTCTCTAGTCCATTCCATTGATCTGTTTGTCTATTCTTTTGCCAATACACACTGTCTTTATACTGTAGCTTTATAATAAATCTTGAAGTTGGATAGAGTCAGTCCTCCAACTTTGTTCCTCATCTTCAATACTGTATTGTCTATCCTGGGACTTTTGCCTGCATACAAACTTTATTTATTTTTAAAAATACTTATTTGGCTGCATTCAGTCTTAGTTGTGGCACAGGGGGTTTTCATTGCGTCATGTGAGATCTTTCAGTATGGTGCACGGACTTAATTGTGCTGTCATATATGGGATCTTAGTTCCCCCATCAGAGATGAACCCACATTCCCTGCATTGCAAGGAGGATTCTTAACCACTGGACCACCAGGGAAGTTTCCATACAAACTTTAGACTCAGCCATCTTAACAGGTGCAAGTTGATATCTCATTGAGTTTTTTTTTCAAGATTTTTTTTTTTGACGTGGACCATTTTAAAATTTTTTATTGAATTTGTTGCAACATTTCTTCCATTACATGTTTTTGTTGTTTTGGCCTCAAGGCATGTGGAGCTTTAGTTCCCTGACCAGGGATCGAACCCATACCTCCTGCATTGGAAGGCGAAGTTTCTCTCATTGTGGTTTTGGTTTTCTTCTCTCTGATGATTAGTGATGTTGAGCACCATTGTATACTTAGTTGTGATTTGTGTGTTTTCTTTAGAAAAATGTCTATTTAGGGTCCTTTACTAAAATTTAAAATCAGGTTATTTATTATTATTATCTGGCTTTGGGATGCCAGAGAAAGGGTAGAGTCCTTGCTGGATGTGGTTAATTATGGAAGACTTGAATGTTGCTTGGTTGTGCCAAAGGCACAGACTAAGATATAAATTTCGGATTTCAGCTTTGTCTCTTACTACTTCTGATTTTGGGCCATTTATCTCACTTTTGTGCATCTTAGTTTCTTCATCTATGAAACCTGGTAATAGATCTCACCTTATATCAGATTCTTATGAAAATTAAACTAGCCAATATATTGAAAAGTGCCTAGCCTAGTGCCTAGTACATGGTGAGTAGCTGCCATAATATTAACATGGCAGTGTTAGTATTATTGTTCATAGTATTATTAGAGGGCAGGGCAGTTTGGGCAGAAGTAAAACTGTTGAGGAAGGAACAATGAGTTATGTAAGTGGCATCTCTCTAGTGAACTTGAAGACAGTGTCTGATTATCTTTGGACTCCCCAGTACTGAGCTATGTGTAGGGCATTATTCAGGGTAGCCTGGTGAGAGTCAGCTATGAGATGGGCAGGGCAAGAGAGCTCTGACAGATGAGAAGTGTCTAAAATCAAGGGCAGGTGGGACTTCCCTGTTGGTCCAGTGGTTAATAATTTGCCTCGCAATGCAGGCGACACAAGCTCGACTCCTGGTCGGGGAACTAAGATCCCACATGATAACTTACTAGAGTCCGAATGCCGCCACAATGAAAGATCCTGAATGCCGCAACTAAGACTTGTAGCAGTCAAAAAAAATAAAAATAAAATCAAGGGTGGTGGGCTTCACGAGTGGTTTCCAGTTAGTGTTGTGAGAAACCCTAGGAGGAGTGGGCCCTTTGTAGGAGTGAGTGGGCAGCAAAGTTTTCCAGGCTCTGAGACTCTGCTCCCCAAGTTTCTGCTGGTGGTGGAGGTAAGGGTCCATGGGAGTGTATATTTAAATCACAAACCCACAAGATTGGATGGTGGCCAAGAGTTTCAACTCGTGACTTTCCAGAAGAGTATGGGATGTGACTGCAGTTCAGCAGCTGGCTTGGCTTCCTCCTCCTCGTTGGGCGTGTGTGAGACATGTCTCCTTTCGTCAGCTGGTGGGGGCTTCCCTGTGGTGGGAGGCTGAGTAATGGTCCCTCAAAGCATGTATGTCTGAATCCCTAGAACCTGCCAATGTTACCTTCTATGGGATTTTGCAGATGTGCATGTAAGAATTTTAAGATGGGGAGATTATCATGGTTTATCTCTGAGGCCCAGTGTCATCACAAAGGTTCTTGTAAGAGAGAGACAGAGGAAGACTTGACACAGAAGACTTTGAAGGTGGACAAAGGGGCCATGGGCATGTAATTCTGGAAGGGGAAAAGGCAAGCAAACAGATTCTCTTCTAGAGCTTCTGGAGGCAGTGCAGCCCTGCTTAATTTCAGCCCAGGGAAACTTATTTTAGACTTTTGACCTTGGAGCCAGAACTGTGAGAATAGTTGTGTGCTTTCCCTCCATTTTCAAAAAGGATTAATAACAAGCAAAATCTTCATAAAAGAGTACTAAGTAACAAAAGTAGGCTACAAAGCCATATGCACACGATAAATGCTCCTTGGAAAATTATGTCATCTTCCCAGATAGCTCAGTGGTAAAGAATCTGCCTGCCAAGCAGGAGACACGAGTTTGATCCCCGGGTTGGGAAGATCCCCTGGAGAAGGAAATGGCAACCCACTCCCGTCTTCTTGCCTGGGAAATCCCATGGACAGAGGACCCTGGGTGGCTGCAGTCCATGGGGTCGCAGAAAAGTCAGACACAACTTTGCAACTAAACAACAACAAATAATTATGTATGCATGTTTGTATGTATGTGAGCACACATATTAGGGTATGTCAGATGTGTGTACAATAACATACATAAAACCTGGAAAGGAAAATTGTTAGTAGTGCTTTTTTTGGATCCTGGATGACTTAAAAATACTTTTCAATAGCAAACATGTTCTAAGCCAGATGGGAATGCTCAGCTACAGTCTGACAGTCAACATAGAAGCAGCAGAGATGAAGCACAAAGTTAGAAAAAGGAAGTCTTGACATTCATTTCGGTTTCTGGATCCAGTCATGCATAAATCAGCTCTCCATTGTCCTTCTCACAATTTTGTTGAATATGCAAATACATTACTTACACTTTATCTTTTGCTTGTTCTGTTTCCCCTTACGTAAGGTTAAACTGGGCTTACCAGGTGGCTCAGTGGTAAAGAATCTGCTTGCCAATGCAGGAGACGTGGGCTTGATCCCTGGGTTGGTAAGATCCTCTGGAGAAGAAAATGACAACCCAATCCAGTATTCTTGCCTGGGAAATTCCATGGACAGAGGATCCTGGCAGGCTACAGTCCATGGGGTTGCAAAAGAATAGGACACGGCTCAGTGACTAAGCACATACGCATGCATACCAGTTGTATCTTAATAAAATCGGAAGAAAATATTGCATTGACAAAATTGACCAGTTTTATATAAATCAGTAATTTTCCATTCAAAAAGATTGTTTTAAAATGTTTAAAATGTAGTTTATTTGTTTCTTACCAGATAAACAAAAATTACAGTC